TGTTGCGCTCTACATGTACAGTCTGGTTTGCGTAGCAGATGGGGGAGATCACACTGCATGCGAATGCGATACACTGTCCACTTCTGGCTCTCTGTGTCTCCGAGCGATTCGGTCATGTGCTGCCGGAGGTATGTGCACCTACTCAAAGAACGATTGATGCGCAAACTTTGGCATTGACAGGTGACATCAACTAAGTCCTGCTGCCCACTGTCAAACATACGACTTTCCAAACAGTGTTCGCATTTATTGTGCAATTTTCCAACTGCTCAACCGTTTGTACCTACCGACCTGTACTCTACTGTGGCCATAAGCTATTTGCTGACGATCTATATCGTACGTTTCGGGTGCAGCCATTCGGTGCTCATAAAACCATTGTCGCTATGCGCCGATTCATTTCCGACGTAATATACTAATACACTGACGTACCATTCCCGTTAGGTTCAACCTTTTACTTAATCCATCCAAATGATTGGCCATGTGCGATGCAATATCTAGTAAGCGTCTCTGCACGTCTGCCTTCCATCCGGTTTGTAAGTGTGTTTTCAGCAGCCCCTGTAAATTCAGTACGGCCGAGGGACAATTGGAACTATATCTATGCTCACTCTCATCACTAGCCTGCGGAGTGGAATATGAAATGGCAACATCCTGATTATCCCTAGTCGGTTAATTGTCGAGATTGTTCACTTGACACAGAATTTCCAGGGAAATTTCTCTTCGAATGCATAATCCAATGTGGTCACACGAGGGACAATCGTTGAACATTGTGTTCCAAATGTCAAACTTGACAATTTATGCGTACTGTAAGCGGTCAAGCGATGTTAACCATTTGATTCAAATCTATCCATCGAACTGGAAACGTACACAATAATTTGCCACCCTAGCATTGATCCGTAGCAAGCACATAAATCGCTCGGAAACACCGCGCGCACGTCAATTACAAATGAGCTCATGGATAGACTGAACCATTAATCTGCGATGCACCGGCTCTCTAAGCGTCATGCTAGTTAGCATTGAGCAGCTGGTCAAGCTACGGTTATGGTGAGTAATACCATGGAGCTTACATAGTGAGGTGAATTGCGGCCGAATAATAACCATACGAATAGGAAGCTGCCGTAGCTCACCCTCTCGGTATGTAACCATACCAGACTCAGCTTGAGAAAGTAGCAAGCAAAGCATAGCATATGTCATGAGGAGTACAATATCGTAATAGGCAACATGTGAAGTCATCGCGTAATACAACCGAGTTAACTAAGCCTAACAAAACTAAGTTACCTATTGCTCATCAGTTCTACGCATGTGCAATAAAGAGACCACATTGCACTAAGTCAGTAGTTAATGATTCTAGAATGAAGCTGTACCCAAGCGCGACTTACGTGTGGGATATAGAATAAGGATGTCACAAGGAAAATGAAGTAGATGGAGTAAGCAACTTTCCAATTTAGCAGCGAAATGATGCTATTATGTTCACTGCAGACTATCCGTGTCGTAAGTTAAAACCAGAGCCCGTTATAATCGTCTCTGGTCCAAGGTGAGCGAGAATCAACAGGAATGTAGAACTGTAGGACTAGTTAATACTAGTCCGAGACGATGCGCGTAATTAAGCGCGGATATCAGAGGGCAATTGGAGTCGGACACAGCGGACTGTATTCGATGGGCTACAACAAGAAGCGGACGGATGAAGCGAGGCAAGAGCGTCCACGTGGGCGCGGGGACTTACAAGGCAGTTGTGTGTCGAGCCGGTTGTAAGATTAAAACAAGAAGGAGTAATGTACAATCGGTCAACAAGTAAATTGTACACGAAAGATAAGAGTTATCTTTTTGGGCGCTACAGAGCTCCCCCCCTAGAAGGCTGAACATAGAAAGCCTTCGAAAAGTAATAAGTGACTTGTTAATTGATCACATCATAGGCGAGAAAAATAAAAAAGATAGCAAGGACAACCCTTACTCGGGTGCAACTATCTTGGGTCGACAGGATACAGAAATCCAGTTTCTATAGTAGTAGCGTTTATCAAATTTCGTGCAAGGCGTTTGGAGTGACTCATTCTCGAGTAGGGTTATGGCACTATCCACTGTCTGTTGTGCATTAGTGCCAGCATCTGGTGGTCATGAGCTATAGCACGTAGTGTAAATGTGACAGAGTATCGTCAAGGCGTTTTTGAAAAGGGATAGGGTGGGTGCATTAATTACATGTTCCGGAGGGCGTTCCAAGGCTGTGACACTCGAAGGGAGAAATAGTTTCGCCGACATTCCAGGCGGCTGTACTGCGTGACTAACTTAAACTGGTGACCTCTTAGCGAGGTGTTTTGACTGAGTATTAGAAGGGAATGGCATGGGTGGTTGGGGTTTCTCAGGATCTGGTACACCATTATGAGATCGCCCCTTAGACGCCGATAACGTCCACTGTATATTTTGAGGGTCTTCAGCCTGAGTGGGTAGGGGAGGCTGGTCAAACCTCTGACGCTCTTCGTTGCCCTACGTTGTGCAGTATCGAGCGCGGTGAGATGGTGCTTGAGCCAGGGTTGCCACGCTTGAATAGCGTATTCCGCGTGCGGCCTCACGTACGCACTAAGCATTTTTGGAAAGACTGAAGGGTCAAACTTCCCGAAAGCTCTGCGAAGAAGGCCGAGGTACTGGTTCGCTTTCTTAGCTGCCTTTTCAGTCTGCCTCGAACAACCGAGGTCATCTTGAACTATCACGCCGAGATCGCACTCGTGAGAAGCCCGCTGTAGAATTTGTGGTCCTAGGCGGTAGTTGTGCATACTCTTGTGCCGTATACTGAGAACTTTGCACTTGGTGACGTTGAAATGCAGCATGTTCTCGATGGACCATGTGTACGCTTTGTCCAGGTCCTCCTGTAACACTGTGTGATCCTCCACTGCAGCTATAGTGCGCCATACCTTTAGGTCATCAGCAAATAGCAAACAGTTAGAAGATAGCACACTCGCGAGATCATTTATGAAACCAGGAACAAGCGGGGTCCAAGTACCGAGCCTTGAGGTACGCCGCACTGAACTTCGATGGATTCTGATAGGTTGCTTCTAACCCTCACATTCAGGTGACGTTGCACGAGAAAGTCTCCTATCCAGCCCAGAACAGGATCGCCGATTCCATATTTCTGGAGTTTGTGGAGGAGAATGCGATGGTCTATACGGTCGAATGCCTTTGAGAAATCCAAGTAGGCCGCGTCGACTCCTACACCAGCGTCCACAGATTCCGTCCAGTTTGCACGAGCAATCAAGAGATTAGTTGTACAGGAGCGATTTTGGCGAAATCCATGCTGTTCCGGAACGAGAATTTTGTTGTTCTCCAGGTACCCATCAAAGCCTCAGCTACGATGGACTCCATAACCTTGGAGATCACAGGAAGTAGTGTTATCGGGCGATAGTTTGCTGGTTCAGCACGTCTACCACTTTTGTAGATAGGCGTGATGATTCCGTGCTTCCACATGTTGGGGACGTGCACCTTGTTCAGGCTTCTTTGAAAAGAATTGCTAGTGGTCCTGCCAACCGCATTGCAGCAACTTTCAACGCCTTCGGGGGAATGCCGTCTGCACCCGTGGAACTGGACTCGCGTAGAGACATCAGCATCTTCAGTACAGCTGGGGAGGAGACCGATTTGTGCTTAAGCTTTGCTAGCGGCGTTATCTCCTTAGGCGGAATGTATAATGATTGCGCTCTTTGAAAAGTAGGCCAAATTGTTGTCCAAGAACGTTGACCGCCACTTGTGCTGTTTTGGCTAACTCGCCTGCGGTGTGCGGAGCAGAAATACCGCGCTTAACACGGTGCACATTGTCCAAGTGTCTGTATAGCAGTTTGGGATTGGAACAAGGCTTTTCCACTTGGCCTCGTTGGTTCTTCAGTTTATCCTCCCGGACGAGTGTGACACAGTGGTTTCTTTGTATTGTGTAGACATCCCAGGCATGGTCGTTCGGGGAGGCTATGTAGGGTGTGCTGTGCCAAAGTCCATTAATGCCTTGCATTTACGTGTCCTGCTCCTTACGAAAGACTTCATCCATTTTAGGCCGGCAGAGTTTGGTTTCAGATGTCCTTGCCACGAGCTTGGTAAACATGTTGACGAATTCACCGCAGGCCACCTCAGGGGTTAATTCAGCTAAGAACGACCAGCTGGTTGCATCAATGAGGTCGGACAGGTCGTCGTAGTTGGTTACGACATGATATTCCTCGGCATGCTCTTTAGGATAATCCGCGTAGCACATGTAATGAAACAATAGCGTCGCATGATCACTGCGGCCCAAAGGAGTATCGGTTATCACTCTCGTCGACCATTAATTCTTCATTGATGAATATTCGGTCCAACATGGATGGCCTGTAAGTTCCCCTGAATCTGGTGGGCGTAGTTGAGCGTGAGCCATAAAGCAGGGTAAGTCCTGAAACCAGATCTGCGGAATCTGCTTTGAATTAGCTCTCCTAGAGTGGGCCCGGATTTCCGAGGGCATGTAAGTTGAAGTCACCGGTGACTAGAATGTGACCTGTACTCTGTCCCCTGTTAATCACTTAGCCACAACGCAGCCATCAAAATTGCCAGTCCATCTCAGGAGTATGACGATGTGGTTGGGTCGGTAAACAACAACCAATAGGCGCAGGATCTGTTCCCGTCCTTAAGCGCGAAATTCCACCCAATGTGCGACAGGTACGTCATCGGTTTCGGCCCGGATCGGTTTATAAGCGTGCCTCCGTCAATTGCAAGTTTGCTAGCGGAAATAAAGGGCTTACCGCACCCACGCACCTTCGTGCTGGCTCGATCCACTCCAGGACAACGGACATGCCCGTTTAGTGGCAATTATCAAAGCATCCGTTCTCAGGAATCGCAGCAGCCCCACACGTTTCGGTGACGAGCGAAGATGTCCTAGCTACAAAGACGCGTTGTCCGAAGTCTTAATTCCGCTAATTTCTGAGTAACCTTGGTCATTTTGGTGTGCATGCATGAGAGCTTTAAACAATCACAAAATTCATTATGTAATATGCTCTTCTGTGTAATAGGTAAACCATCGCGATCTTCGCGAACTGTTCGAACGATTCAAGCACAAATACAGTAAGGCATATCTAAATGGGACTGGTAAGTTCCGTTAGCTTTTGCATACATTTATTTGCACTTTATCGGCAGATGAGGAAAAGAGGTTTGGTATATTCAGAGACAATCTGATACGCATCGAGGCGTTGCAGAAACACGAGAAGGATACAGCCAACTATGGTATAACCAAGTTCACGGACCTGACGAGTGAGTGAATTGGTCCTGATTTTATTTCGCACACCCTAACCGTCTGTTTAGCCGAAGAATTTTCAGCCCGTTTTATGAATGCACATTTTAACAAAATGACTCGGGAGCTGAAGATAGCCAAGCGTGTTGAATTACCAGAAGCTTTGCCAAGTTTCGATTGGCGAGAGAAAGGTGCAGTGACGCCAGTGGAAGATCAGGGCTCTTGTGGTTCATGTTGGGCATTTTCAGTGGCCGGGAACATTGAAGGTCAATACTACTTGAATGGCGGAAACTTAACTTCGTTGAGTAAACAGGTGAGTTTCGGTAACAAAGTAAGTCAGACAAAGTTGATTATTTCCTGCCAAATGAAAGGTTACATATGACCCTTCTGTGTCGTTTTCGTGCTTACAGCAACTGATTGACTGTGATAAACTAGATGATGGCTGTCATGGTGGATACCCTCCTCATACATACGGCGAGGTTATACGAATGGGAGGCATGGTTAGTGCCGTAGATTACCCATACCTGGGATGGCAATACTGGTGCCGGTTGAAGGTCTCACAAATTCTGGTCAACATCAGCGGAGCCCTGCTTCTTTCAAAAGATGAAAAGTATCAAGCCAAATACCTCCAGCAGCATGGACCGCTTTCCGTTGGGCTGGATGCAGAACTATTACAAGTTAGTTTCTGCATTGTTCTACCATTGTTTACACAAATGTGTGTGCCTAACGATCTGAAGCACCATTCCACTCTCACTTACAGTTTTATCAAAACGGGATTTTCAATCCACCCGCATCCCGTTGTTCGAGCTACCATTTGAACCATGCCGTGCTGACTGTGGGATTCGGAAAAGAGAAGGGTATCCCATTTTGGATAGTAAAGAATAGTTGGGGTTCCGATTGGGGGGAAGATGTGAGTTGCCACATTATTCTTGTCATGCCTGGCGCTTACCATTTTGGTTGAAACGATGGTCAGAAGTAGCTAGTAAAATAATTACTAAATACGCGGTACACATGCCTCTTTTACGAATGCTTCTAGTCTGGTCATTTACTTTGAGAATTAGCGCCTTTCTTTTCAATTCTGCTCTTCTTCCGAAGTGAGCACCAATGTTTCCTCCGCTATATGGGAATAGTATCGCATAGATATCTATGCATGTGTGTGATGTAAATCCCTGTACATACCTCCAATTTTGGCCTACTCTGGTTATATGATGTCCTCTTGGCTACATATGCTACGCGGAAACATCCAACAAAACGGATAATCCTTACGATCCATCGCGTATTAAGAAATCTAACTGCAACAAACTGGGCTTTACTTCTTCCATACCCTCCTGATGTAGCCTGCGTGTAGTTCAAAAGCAGCTTTAATGGGTGGATCGTACAAACCAAAGAAACAACGATGTGTTTGGAGTAAATTACTACTTAGTGAAGATCTGCAAACAGCAATGTATGGCATGCGGCTTATAAAAAGTATAAATATCTACAACTTGCAACACTTAGATTGCTTACGTAACACATTGAGAATACCGTGCTTATGTTCAGTGGTAAGCTAAAATTGAGGATCAGAATAATATAAAAACAAGCTGCTCTGACCAATTCATTTGCGATAAGTATTTTCTCTGCTTCACAATGTTAACAACTGTATCAGAATGGCAAAACGAATAACTAATGTCCAGCATATAACACACTCGCTTACATGTTAGCATATGACTATTTTACGAGAGATTCCAGCAAATTTGTCTGGTAGCTAGAAACATCGCCTTATCTACTGATGTGGCATTGTGGAGGCTAATGTTTATACGAAAGTCTAGCCTGTCGTGAACGGTATATATTATGCGCAATGCAGCTAGGAACCGTGATACATAACTACCCATCAGCTGGACTAGATAAATCTAGACCATTTGATGGTGGTGTGGTTTGAGTTTTGGAGGATTGACGGGCATGCGTTTCAATTTTGACGCCATATGATCTCGTCGATCATAACAATAGCCGTACCTGCTAGTTTCTAAGCAACGGTAAATTATAAACAGGCAAAACGCTTATAGTAGCAGCAGTGCGTCTCTACGCAACAAATCTACCCTCAGGTACCATCTCATAGACCAGGTTGATACTTACCGTAGTACGTGAAACGCGGTTGTCGGTTCGCTTTCTGTTTAGTGCTGTTTGCCTAACTTGCTTCAATGTGTCATTCAAACTGTTGGATAGACCCCAGCTTTACTACGACTGGTTACGGAGGGAAATTTATAGAAATTGTAGCTTATTTGATCACAACCGCTGTGTTTTCTATTCTCACCATAATTGCTGCACATCTACATATAGGGAGAGTCATGCAATCAATGCGGAACCTAAAGGATACTATGTTATTATTCAGTTAGTTGGATTCCACTAGTGACAAGCGGATGGGTTTGGTGTGAATATGTTTGCTTCATTCAGCACACCGCATCAAAATTTTATGCACCTTTTCATTTAAGCTTCATTCAGCACACCGCATCAAAATTTTATGCACCTTTTCATTTAAGCAAGTGGCTTCCAAATATGACGCGATGTGCTGCATTCTATGTGGGTCGACGCTTTGTGGGTATGTCCGCAACGTGGTTGCCAGTTTTGCCTATGCATGGAAAGCAAGCCAAGCAATAGTCTACGTAGAAGCATACTGGCAGCAGGTCCAGTGAATGTTGGATGAACAGCAGTGGGCCGGTCCACAGTTGGTGTTGTCAACTTCATTACAACGATTACAAAAGGTTTTAGCTGAAGGTGATTACCTCTTCTTGGATATCCCAAAGTAGGTGCATTTGCTCAAGTGCGTATCTTCAACAGCTATTTGAAAAATTAGGTAGTTGCACTCTTTGGTTGCAGCAACAAGATTGAATTTACACAAGAGCAGAAAAACTTGAGGTGTTATGCTTAATCGGAAAGTTTAATTTCTGCTTCGTAGAACGGCAGCATAACATTAGAATGTGCAATGGCAGAATGATTTTATTGTAGACACGAAAGAGTTGTCGTACGCCGAATCCGAACGGCTGGAATGGTGAAATTGGTGACGTGACCCAAATGAGATTGCGGGGGGGGGGGGTTGAATAAAGCCTCCAAAGCAATCGATATATGATTGTGCACAAGTGTCAATGCATCGGCAGAACGTTTGCTAGACTCGACAGGTAACTTGACAAACATACACGTACTTAGGGACACCATACTCAGGTAACAAACCTAGTAAACTCTGTGTGGATATATGTCTACATATGCATCAAGAATATATCATTGCTTGGATATTATATTATGTTTATTCTGATTAGAAGAAAAGCAATACATGAGCCGCCTGTTTCGTTTGTTTGCCACACAGGGGTACTTCCGTATACGTCGCGGAAGGGGAACTTGTGGAATCAACCAAGTGGTCACAACATCCTTTATTTGATCGTGCTGACAGGAATACTTCATTTGTTTTTTGTTTTTTCATAAAACCTTTTGTTGAGGCTATCGACCACATCATAATACACCTGTATGGGCATTAATTGTTTTTTGATTTACCCTATATTCCGAATACACTGCAATTTGCAGCTAGTCAAAGATGGTTTACGCAGCACCCGCAATTTTTCTACCTTCGTCATTTACATCCCGGAAGTGGAAAATTTTGCACTACCAGGATGAATAAATATTTTTCTACAGTGATGCACCTACAAGCACGAATATTTGCAATATGTGTGTCTAGGCTCTCCAAGAAGTTTGGTATTACCATATTCAAGGCAACATACATTCCTTCGATTAAAATATATGCAAATTGATCCTCATCAACCTTTAGCTAATAGAGTGCATTTGATGGTTGGGATGAAGACGACGAAGTCAAAATATATGTGGGTCATCTACCAAACGTCTGTCGAGATGAATACTTTGATAATATCAGCGCAACATTAAAAGAGAGTCGTGCGTAAACGTTCAGAAATATACTGGGTTGTGGTGGTCGTTGATATAAGGCGTGCGAACAGTAAAATATGGTCGCTCACTTGGGTCTGTTGTATCTACACGTATACTAGTCCCCTGCACGCAGCGTCTTGAACAAACACGACCAAAGCCCCGAACGAGGAAGCAGAACTCTACTGGTACGCAACACAAACTTCTATTCACACCAACGGTACATGCACTCAGTATATTCAAAACAACCGTGGTATTGATCGCGAACGGACAGGCATCCAATCACAAGCTACGAAGTGCGGTCGTGGTAAGGCCCGCGCGTACGCGCTGCCACAGGGTCCATTTGATACATAAATCCTGTAGAAAAGTACGCTTGGCGTAATTCACAATAGAGGATTTTAGGTAACGAAATGCTAGGAGCTAATAGCAACATCTAATCTTTTTTTGGAATGGTCCAATGTAGGGGAGGATACAACTGAGTCGGTGAGTGCGTTCCAGGGTTGGCAAACCCGAGGAGAAAAGTCATTCCGTCGACACTCTAGACGGCTACATTGTTCTTTCAATTTTAAGCATTCACCCCTGAGCTGCGTTTTGTTGCCGAGTTTCAGCAAGTGGCGGCATACGTGGTTGGGGTCACTCTATATCTGATACGCTAAGATAAAATCTCCGCGCAGCCTTCGATAGCGTCCGCTGAGAATTCCCAACAACTTCAGCCTCCGGTGGTAAGAGTGATAGTGCAGGCCCATTACATTCTTTGTTGCTCTTCGTTGTGGTGCCTCTAACGCGTCTAGGTCGAGCTTCAACTAAGATTGTCAAGCTTGGATGGCGTATTCAACGTGCATCGTTAAGTAGGTTGATGGGTCGGATCTCTCGAATGCCGTTTGCAGCATACCGACGTGCTGGTTGCCTGGTTTCGCAGCTACCTCAGCCTGTTTTAAACAGTTGAGGTCGCTCTGTACGATCACACCAAGGTCACATTCCTGGAAGCTGGTCTGCAATCCGTTTCGTCCCAAGCAAATATGTGTAGTTATGTCTGTGGCGTAATTGCGCAACGCAACATTTGTCCATGTTAGTTGGTAGAGCTTTTTGAACTGATCAGTTCGACACACTGTTAAGATCGCACTGGAGCCATTCGTGGTCGTCCGGTCCCCTGATCCTTCCCCATATCTTGATATCATCAGCGAAAAATAGGAAATCGGAAGCAATTGATCTCGCTAAATCGTTAAGGAACACCAAGGATAGACGAGGTCCAAGCACCGAGCCTTGTAGTATACCACACACCACCTCGATTGCATCGGACAAGGATACTCGGACTCTCACCTCTAGCAGTCGTTCGTGTAGAAAATTGCTAATTCAACAGGATTGGGTCGCTAATACCGTAATTCCAAATCTTCTGAAGGAGAATTTGATGGTCGAAGCGATCAAAGGTTTTTGAGAAGTCCACGTAGACGACATCGACTCCTGCGCCATCATCAACAGCTTCAGTCCAGCTATTACGTGCAATTAGTCGGTTAGTAATACGTGAAGGCTTTTGAGGAATACCATGTTGCTCTGGGGCTATTAAGTCGTGGCTTTCCAGATACTGCATCAGCACATCTGCGATGATTGATTCCATCAATTTGGATAGTACGGGAATTAGTGTTATTGGACGGTAGTTGGCAGGATCAGTGCGGCTACCTCCTTTGTGGATAGGAATGATGACCCCTCGCTTCTATACTGGTGGAATATGGTTCTCTTCTACCTATCGCTGATAGAAAACGTCCAGTGGTTCTGCTAGATCACTAGCTACCGCCTGCAGAGCCTTTGGTCGGATGCTGGCAGCTCCGGTAGAGCTGTGGATAAGCAAGGATAACAACTTCTACAACACAGCTTCCGCACTGAAGGTGATGTTGTCTAAACCCGACGGTGGAGTAATGGTAATGAGGAGAAGTTTGGGTTCGTTACCTGCTGGAAAGTTTCGGAGTAATGAAGCCGTAGGAGATCAGCTGCTTCCATTGCTGATCGCGTACACCCAACAGCCGTGACTAGTGCTGGAATCCTCTGCTTCACCTTTCGAAGGCCGTTAGGTTGCCTGTACAGAAGTTTGCGCTTCGGGCAGAATCGCTTCATTAATACCTGCTGATGAGTGACCTTATCTTCGCGGATCAGTTTCACACAGAATTTACGATGTATCATCTACCACTTTTTATTTCTTCATAAACCTGCTTCGGTTCCATCATTCTTCTTTAGATAACAGTCGACTTCACTTGGGATGAGAAATTACGCTGAGCTCAACTGCCCCAAGGAAAACCGCATGTTACAGTGGAAATTTTACTCTCTCTCTCTCTAAACGTTCCGAATGTCTACGAATACAAAGTGCATTCAGCTGCGTTGTCTCGATGTTATGAGTCAAAAATAAGGGTCGTTCGGTTGATTTAATATGCAACGCGGACCAATCGCACATGTGATTTACAGGTGACGATGGTTATGTTTAGTATCATCCTTTCATAAATCCTGCGGTGATTTTTGCCAACAAAACCTAGCAGTTAATGCTGTTTGTCAAATTCCTTAGGATGATTGGGATGCAATTTTCCAATCAAAACTACCGTTCAGCTGGATTGCTCAGCGATTTTCTAACGCCAAACGATCTTCACACGAAAACGCATTATTTCATAAAGTAGTTGTCTAGTGAAGTTTAGTTGGATCGAAATCACCTTCAGCTTTTGAGTCAAGAAATTCACGCAGACTGTTCATTGTTACGTTCTTACATTTTAAGCAAGGATTTGAACCTGACCTTTGCAGATTTGCTTTGTGATTTTGCACACAAAATGTATTTTTAAAACATTCAGTGCCGAACCTCGGAAAACATTGCAGCAAAACAGCTGAAAGTGGCGAGTGATAACGCTCAATTCCGATCGCAGGCTAGGTTTAACTATAACCTGACAACGAAGCCTCATCAGATATAAACACTAGTTAATTTATCCACATTCAAATGAGGTTATGCACAAAGTCTATAGGCATTGGGTCACATATCAGTGCACGAACCCACAGAATACCGTGATGTTTGTATTCAGGTATACAAATATGCTTACGTTTAGACTCTTATCAAAATAGCACATTGCTGCGTAGAGGCTGTTATTTTTCCCAGTCAATGCGTAAATATGTTATGCATTTACTCTGTGCAATTATAGGCTCTTTATAAAGACAGACATCCATAAACCGACATTTTATGTGCGATTTAACCTAATCGATTGCGGAAGCAGCGGAAACACGGTAGAGCAGGTATGGCACTAAAGAAATCTACATAATCCTTTTTTCTGTGTCGGCCTTCACTGCCCAACACAAGTGAGAAAAACTTGTCGCTGAGAACGGGTGAGGAATTATAGTCAGCTCTTCTGTTAAATAGATTGTGGCGTGTATTTGATACATATCTCAGCGAGGCCTACATTGTGTAAACAAAATGCAATTGCTAGCAACAGACCACCTGCCTGAGCTTATTCCATGGTCAAGGCAAACGTATTCTGAATTGAACGATTTGCTTTCATGACTGCCATCCAACAATGCGCAATGCCAGCTAGTGATATGTCTTGACCTAGATCACGCTGACGATGTGCGAACTAATAAATCTTGTCTACCTGAAATCGACCAAAAACCTGACGACCGCAGATAAATTAATTCAAATCATCTTTTTGCTTTACGGCTTGGTAGTACAATATTGGAACGCGTCTGATTACAACCTGACAGTACTCATAGTTGAGAGTTACTATCTAGTTCAAGATGAGGCGTGATAGTTCAAGATATCCTCGGTTGTTTGAGGCAGACTAAAAAGGCAGCTAAGAAGGTAAACCAGTATCTCGGCCTACTTCGCAGAGCTTTCTGAAAGTTTGACCCATCAGTCTTTCTAAAAATGCTTAGTGCGTGCGTGAGACCGCACGCGGAATACGCTATTCAAGCGTGGCAACCCAGGCTCAAGCACCATCTCACCACGCTCGATACTACACAACGTATGGCAACGAAGAGCGTCAGAGGTTTGACCAGCCTCCCCTACCCACTCAGGCTGAAGACTCTCAAATATATAGTGGATGTTATCGGCGTCTAAGGGGCGATCTCATAATGGTGAACCAGATCCTGAGAAATCCCAACCACCCATGCCATTCCCTTCTAATATTCAGTGAAAACACCCCGCTAAGAGGTCATTAGTTTAAGCTGGTCACGCAGTACAGCCAGCTGGAATGTCGGCGAAACTACTTCTCCCTTCGAGTGTCACAGCCTTGGAATGCCCTCCCGGAACATGTAATTAATGCACTCACCCTATCCCTTTTCAAAAATGTCTTGACGATAAGCTATCATATTTACACTAGTTGCTATAGCCCATGACCATCAGATGTGGCACTAGTGCACGCGAGAATGAGTCATTCCAAACCTCTTGCAGACAATTTGATAAAAACGCTACTACTGTAGAAATTGGATTTCTGTATCCCGTCGAGCCAAGATGGTTGCACACGAGTAAGCGTTATCCTTGCTAGTTTTTATTTTTCTCACCAATTACGTGATCAATAACCACTCCCCTTATTGATTTGTGTGCGTAAATTCTCATTTCAAAATCCCTTTATTCGGCAGTACAGTTAAATCTGTAATCGCCCGAACTGACTACTCCATTATCCCTTGATCTATATTTTCTCACTCTAAACACCCTACGGGAC